CTCCGTATTCTTGTAAGTGGACAGAAAGCAACTACGACTCTGAGTGGCGCTGATATACAATACAAATCCGTAAAAGGCCTGGTGACTGCGCTCCACATTTTTATTAGCAAGGTTGCAAAGGTGGTGTGATGGCGAGTGTCGTCGCTTGTTCTGTGCACGTTTAAATATTCAATCTCAGATGGTAGTGTGTTGACAAGTCCAAGATGTCTGGGGCCGTGTGCAGCAGGCCCCAGACATCTTGGACTTGGCAACGCATTCGGACCAATTCGTGGATGGGTCCCCAAAACCGCATCTCTAGATACTTCCCCAATTCTCGACCATGACCAGAATAGAGACGCAGAGGATTAGGGACCCATCCCTTAGTTGGGGCTTGCTGCACCTGGCCCCTGACATCTATACAAGTTCGATTCACTAGCACAGACTGGTCTAGGAGAACAAAGCTGGTGAGTATACTAGCTGCCCTCAATTGAACGCTGTGCAGACTAGCTCTTGAGCATTTTACAACTCAGAATGGCAGCAGAATGCCAAAATGAGTTGACCAGTACCGAATGCCCCATCGTTTTATTCACGAAGTTTTTATGGTTACTGTTAATTTGTCTTGTATAGTGCGAATCTTGAACTCTGAGCATTTAACTTATTTACGTTCTATGCATTCTTCTGAAGTGACATTACTATTCCCGAGATGAAATATTTACAACGATGACGTAATGGTTCTGCACACACATGAAACTGAAATGTCTGCTGCTATGAATATTGTGGAAATTCCAAGCATTAGCATGTCTTTATTCTGTATGGAAGTGCTTACTTTCTTGATAAGTTCTGTTTACTTCTAGACATTTATGCCTTGGCGCTAATGAATCAGTACAATTTACGAAGCTTTCATGATCGAGTCTATCGACTACCATCATGCGATGCTTCTCTGTTTCATTTGTTCATTTTCCATGATTCGGATTTAGTTTGCTTTGTGCACATCACATGCACACCGCCACCGTATCCCTTGTGCGACGTGTACTAAGCGTATAGGCGATGAAACGTGGTGCCATTCGAGGCATTCGCTCTCCGTTGCTTTCAACGAACGGTCTTGTTCGTTACTTCCCGAACGGTGTTGCTTATTTCAGAACATCATCTCTCGGAATGGGTGACGATCCTTGCGAGTGTCTTTTTAATCATGAGGCGGCTATGAGACGACTGCTATCACTGGTTAGTGGTTTCGCCCATTTTTACCTTCACTTTATTACAAAAGTGTTCTCAAATTTCTTCTGTTTCTGCATTCCTTCAGATTCTGGAAGGAGTTTGCAGTGATTGTTAATATTCATGCCTTTTACGAAAGCGGCCGAAACGGGCGCGCCGTACATGTTTTGTTGAATTTTATTCTGAAATGAGCCATGCGTTGTCTAAACGGCGTTGGTAGTCAGATATGATTCTGAAGGCCAAGAAGTTTGTGTTGTTGATTGCCCGCATAGTTAACTTATTGCGCAGAAACTTGGTACGCCACTAATGAATGCAACTCCACCTACGTAACGTCTAATTCGATCACCGACCGACCTACCACCTCAAAGTTTTCGGTATGCAAAAACGAATACCACCGTATCAATGAGCCTATCATTTTGTGATAAGGGAGGAGCCGTTGCATTCGACTAATGAGGAGTTTCATGGCAGCTGGGCCCAAGTTTCTTAGGATATCGTTCTGAAGATGGGGACTCTGATTCGATTTTGCGACAGGAGCGCGCCGCACTTCGCTTTTCCGATGTTGTGCATTTTGCTATGGATGCTTCATATTTGTGCTTGTTAACTTTTTCACATCACAGATGAAAGAGAGGAAGTTGGAGCGGAGCAATGGCACTAAATTACATGGATGCACTATTGCCCTTCGGAGGAGTCAGTAGCGGGATTGGGGGGGAGGGAGAGGGGGCTGTTTCGAACAGAGGCTGGAAAAAAACGCTGGGTAATGACATAGGACCGACTCATAAGTAGGGGAGGAACGGGTAGGGATAGGCAACGTTGACTTCACCTCTTTCCTTATCAACGAATATCTTTTCTTGACTAGCCTAGTATCAAAAGTATCAGAGTGGCCAATTTTCATCTCGACGTCTAATGACCACCCTGAAACGATTAAGCGAGTTATTGGAAAACAGCCCGCTCAAGAAATCCCTTCACCCATTTTTTTTTCGTTGCGGCAAGTTCGCATATGGATGAACGGGCCGGGCCAGGTGGTAAGGGCATTAGGCTGCTTCAGCAGGGTTATCGGTGAAATTATCAATTAGCATTCTGCATGAGCTTACTGGATTGGATGGTGAGGAGCTAGGATAGCTCTTGTAAAGTGATGAGTTACAGCAATGATTCAGAATCCCCATTTTTCAACGGAATGGGCCTTTGTTCCAACAGTAAACAAGAGTTACGTCTCCAGGAGATTGGAGATAGTGAAAATTATATCCTCATGTTACTGGTGTTTGGCTTTTCATCGTCTGGTGTTGAAGCGACTCGTATTGATGTCCTGCAGGTACAATTTCTTGGGGTTAGGTAATGCGGACGCTTCTACAAAGCATTAATCGGAGGCCGTCATTTACACGGTTGTTGAGCATGGGAAGCAACCAAGCGGGTTAGGTCGTCACATAATATCATGCAATGTATGTAAAAGCCGTAATAGATAGAAACACGCGCAGCATTCACTCCGTCAACGAGTTATACGGTAACTTGTATTGTACAGCGCAACCATTGGGAAACCAAGAGCTAGTTCATATGCTAGTAGATGTGTGCGCACTGGTCTTGTGTACACAGGGTTTAAAGATTAGAAACAGTTTGATTACGTCATTACAACTTTAAGGTTGCGGGAATATTCAATTACAGCTACGCGACACTCAGGACTATTGCACAGATTCGGAGTGTTTGACTGATGGCGGCCCTACGGCAATCGCAAGCAATTCGATATTGTTGTGGACAATGCTTTGGGGATTTCTTGCTTTAGTTCTGTTCTTTATGCGTCCAAATTCTTGCGCACCGAGAATTCGAATGGTTAGGAACGAAAGCCTGGACGAGGCAATGGGGGGGGGGGATCGGCGTGAAGTAGGTACATATTTTTTTTTTGAAGTACAAATTGAATTTTCATGGACGGACGGCTCCGGTTTGCTCAGGAGCCACTAATCCATCTGCAGCGAATCGTGAAAAATCGCTAGAGAGCCCAATCCTTGGTGGTATTTGATCATTCAAATATGAAAGAAGTAGAATCATGAACAGCCGTCAGTGAACCATTGCCAGAGAAATGGCGGCGGTGGGAGAGCACCTTGCAGTATTGATCGGAGTACCTGTGATTTCTGTGACCCGAATTCGCGCGGATCGCGCCAAGGCTCGCGGACTCTGGTGCCTAAACCAAAGTGAATGTGAGACGTTCTGGTTACAGTCCGACTCAGTTCCAGTAATGGGTCAATCTTCTAGTCAATGCATCCGTTCTGTTTTCGCTTCGTTTTTTTTTCTTGTGGTAACCGGGTAAATCAACCAGTCTTTCGCAGTTTGAATTAGTATGCGCACTGCAGCCGCACGCGGCGATGCCTGTGCACTTCACCCTGTCTTATGCCGTGAATGTGCTGAAAAAAAGAAGAAAATTAGTGATATGACTACATTTCAGAACAATCAACCACCACCGCCCGCAATCATGTGAACACAACAGCATGAACGAATTTCCAAAACGCCCCCCTTTAACAGACATTCGCACAGTGTACACACATTGTAAATATCGATACCATGTCTTCCGTGATGCCTTCTGTATTCATCTGTATCATGTGGGATAACACATTCTTTTCCCGTAATGCATACTGGTTTTAGTTTCCGTGATTGTGTGATCGAATTAATCACACAAATCACGGCTTATAATTGGTTGCAGCACTTTTTTCTTCTGTTCATTTAAATAGCCCACTTTCGCTTTTTTTTCACACGATGTATTTAGACTTCGAGTCTGTTACCCATAGTTGGTATCTAGATCTAAGCTCTCACATACCAACTAGTCTAGTTACGAATGTGATTCGCTAGATATAATTCTTTTCCTTTTTTTCGTATACAAACTTCTATTTGGTACAATAAATTTACAAGGGTGGACGAGATTTATACCTATAAGTGCATATACATAACAAATACATATTTGTATTATTTGAGGTAACTATAAGAGAAGGGGAACAAGCACAACCATTACCCGCGATATGTATGGACGTTACACGTAAATTACGTTCTACGTCACTTGGTTGAGAATGGGCGTAAATTAGCCACAGTTTCAGAATTATGATTCCGAGAGAAATCCCTTAGTAATACGCATGAAAATCACATAAAATACGGTGTCACCACCTTATCGGGGATTTCACGACGATCTTGTGGTACAGCCGTGAAGTACTTCACATCTCTTGAACCATCTTCAGCGATCGATAGTACTGCGGCTACGTTTCCGCAGCGATAGCAATAGTTGGGCGCTAAAATAAAACACTATCGATTGAGTAGAGGTATAGACGTCTCACTGTTGACGCGTGGTTTCAAACAATGACAGTCCGATTTCATAATTCCAAATAGTACGTGCATAACGCAACTCGTCACCCTGGCTCCAGACGTAATGACTTCCAAAAAATGAGGGCACGAACACTAACGAAAAGTATAAATTGATCAACATATGGAGGGTCGGCCGAAAAAAAAAAACGCCAGATGTAGTAGAAGTGTGAGCGCTTTGTGGTCAGTGTATTTCTCTTAATTTGAAGGAGATTAGATCCCGTAATGAACACCAGAGGTTATTCCAACGTGCAGTTGTGCTGTGATAGGTAACCCGTTATTAGCTTGTTGATAGAAAGACCGTAGTTAGAAGAGATCGCCGTCAAACGAAGCGCAGTCTTGTTGTGAAACATTGATTAAAAACGGATGTTATTTGATCAGACCGCGTCATGTGCCGGTGGATCTACCCACCCACCCCCCCCAACCGTATCAACTCCCCACCTGACTACCTATGCAAGGAGGGTGACTTAACCCATTCGAATTTCTTTTTCTATTTTGTCAACAAGCCGACTTAGTGACTAATTGGACTCTGCAACGGCCCTTCCGCAAAAAGCCAGACGTGTAAGGCAAAGGGGTTGACTCAGCTTCAAACAACAGACGAGGGAAACATGAGCCAGCTGTAGCGTGCACGGTCACACCGGTCACGAGACGCTATTAAGGTGAAAAAATGCAGACTATGGCAGAACGATGACGCGGTTCAGAGGGCCGAAAAAGCACACAGACATCAAAACCGTGAAGGAAAAAATTAGATGCCGCATTGTTGAAGCTCAGCGGCAACAGAATGCCAAATCACGAACGAAAATCTCGTCAAAAACAAAATGTCAACGACACCTGAAAGGTACGTAGCGTAAGTGTCCCCAAATAACTAAATTTGCAAAAATTTGATTTCGATATTCAACGAAAACTGTGTTTTACGTGAACCTGAGTTTATCTCCCCACTGTCTAAATTTATTTGCCGGTTATCTTCGCTGCCATTATGCGTTCTTGAGTTGCTTCATCACGGGGTCTGAACCACTCAAGGCACAGTGCTCAATCCTCAAACTTACAAAATATTAGCATAACAAAGCGATATAAGTGTTGAAAACGTACCGGACCAGACAGTACATAACCTCTCATTGAAAAGATACCGGAAACCTTCGTCAACAAGCTGGTGAGACCGGCATATAAGGTCCAGGCCGTTGGTATGCAAGAATTTCTTTGCAACTGTTGCCCCGAATATCTGTAAAGAAATTTTGTTTTCATCTATGTATAACCCACTTCTTTCTTAGCATGCAGAATGGGACAAGCACTGCAAGAAGCGTTAATATGACAAAGGCCCTCCGACTTTTTGAAGCTGGTGCAGCAAGTGAGCAAGGAAAACAAGCTGACAATTGTACTTTCGTCGATAAAAACTCACCCATCCAGCTCCTCTTTGACTGATGACCCATTCCTCCTCATTCTCATCTGGATCTGACCACATGAGATCACATAGAGGGCCCTAAAAACAAAACAAGAACATGAGCTAACAGCCGTGCTAGACCACCTAGGAGCCACCCACTTTTGTTGGAAGTTCTACAGCTCGATTTAAGTTCAGCATCTTATCAATCGATTTAATTTCCGGAGAAAGACCACCGTGAACACACAATATCGAATCGTCAATTATAGCACCAACTGGTAAGACGTCGAAAACCTGGACGAAAAAGGTTACTATGTAACTGGAAACGATAGGAAACAGAGGATTTTCCAGTATATCATTGATACTCTCAAACATACAAAATACTCATATTATGGATACATACAAAGCTATGAACGTATGAAACTATTTCACTGAAAACGCAAATAGGAGAATCTGCGATACAATATTCTAAGTGCTTATGTAAGGCCCTAACGGTGTTGGCGTAGTGGAAGTAGCTAGTGCCGCATACCATCAGAAGGTGCAGGCTCTAATCTCGCTCAGGCCGACCAATCCCTACGTTCCATCATTCAGTGGTCTGTTGCTTGACACTAGCTTCGCTTTGGAAAAACAGTGATTGTCCATAAGCTAGCTTTAGCAATATGATGTACACACAATCGCCGCCCGGAATGGAAGTAAGGAACGTGGCGCATGCCAACATAGGATGGCCAGGTATGGGTCGCTCGGACAAAAAACGACTTTTCCAATTTTGCAGCGTGAAGCTTTTTTTCGCTGCGGGAACCTCAGGCCCACTAACGAGGAATGCTCAATTGGTCAGTCCGGCCATTTGTAATGAGGTGTAGTCCAATGGACGCGTCTTGCGACGCTGAGCTCAAATCCGTTTTCGTTATCTGCGGAACGATTCTCTGAAAGAAGTTACGAGGGAATTCTTCTCACTATGGCTTTTTCACTGTGGCATCCTCTACATTCCCCTATCCCCCACGGTTCGCATAAGAAGAGCCAGAGCACCTCACACAGTTGGCCAGGTGGCCTAGTGGATATCTCCTAGACTCATATGGGAGAGGTCACATGATCGGATCCTTAGGAACGCAAAGTTTTGCATTTTTTCATGGCTTCTCATACGAGCCCAGAAAGTGTCTATATTTGGTTATTTTGTTGATTTGCGTCCCCACTTGACATATGGCTGAGACAGACTTTGGAATTTTCCTCTCGTCCTCTTTTTAGGTTTTCTATTATGATGAACTTTGACACACGGGACAAAACACAAGGACACAGGCTCGTAAATATACAAAATTTCAATAACTTGCGAGCATATGTGATAGTTCTTCACATGGTGATCAAAACAAAACAGCTTTTCGCAGTGTGCACAGGGAATAAAGAAAGATCTAGGGGGATGTAGAGGGTGCCACAGTGAGAAAGCCACAAAGAGAAGAATCCCTCGTAACTTCTTTCAGAGAATCGTTCCGCAGATAACGAAAACGGATTTGAGCTCAGCGTCGCAAGACGCGTCCATTGGACTACATCTCATTACAAACGGCCGGACTGACCAATTGACCATTCCTCGTAAGATCGGAGTGGACCTGAGGTTCCCGCAGCGAAAAAAGCTTCGCGCTGCGAAAAGCGAAAAAATCGCGTTCCGTCTTGGCGAACAACACCGAACGGGCACCGCCAAATGTTTTGACATTTTTACCTAGAAGTCATTCGGAATTTTTTTCCAGGGTTGAAACGAAGTTTTGAAAAAAAAATTAATAGCTACCTACATCAATTTCACACTACAGCATATCGTAATGTTATGTAGAACTGATTATACCGGCACGGAAATGACGAGGATGAAATACATACCCTACAACACCATCTGTATACGACGCTGTGGCCATACTTTTGTTGGCATTCATCATAGAACCCATAGACAGAAGAGATCTTACGAGATTCATGATTACCACGTAGAAGTGTCATGCGATCAGGATATCTAAAAACGCTGTTAATGTCGGAAATGGCCTTGATTATGAGCACATCATGACGACACAACTTTAACGTCAATTGTTTACACAGCCGCAAATTTGATAAACAACGAAAAATTCCCAAACAATGAGACAACGGAGACCTGAACGGAGGGCTTTATCGATGCGCAAAATATGATTTGAAATGAGAGGTTCCCTCTAGTTGAACTCAAGGCTTCCCCATATCGCAAAAAGGACTCAATAATAAAAATAGGTGCCCCGTATAAAAGATTAAAAAAGGCAGTCGCATCAATTTGTTTTACAACTGACTATGGAGCGGTGTCCTTCACCGAAGTATCCAACCAGTAAAACAAAATTACGCATGCATAGATGTGATGGGAACTATGTGTATTCCGTGTTAGCATGTTAAATGTTCCATGTATAAGGCCATTTTCAAAATCGCCACCTCATTAACCTTCGTAGAAGCTGCTGTCGATCATGAAGTCTAGAAGAGCTACGATTCTTCGGTTCTAATGGGGCTGTTATCAGCCCTCGAGAGGAAGACATCGCGTCACAGTATCCCCGACTGGGTTGCATGCTAACTGACCTAGGCCCTTTCTCCGGCTTTATCACAAGGCGAGATATCGCGGTTGCATCACAGATCCGCATTATGAATCTCTGTGTCGTAAGCGTGGCAACGCACGAAGACACCTGGGGAGAGAACAACAAACGAAAGGAGCATGGAGTGGGCGAGAGGCGCATATTTTGCCGCTTAGATCGCTGTATTACGAGCAACAACTCAACCAGGGCAACTACACTATACTTTCCGAAAAGGAACGCTTTCCTCCCGTGGATGCTACTTCCAGCCACTCACCTGTAGGAGGGGGGGAGGTAAAGACCGTATCGTGGGAACCTCCAACCAGCTCCATGTACACTTGAATGTGCACTCGGGAAATGGAAAAAAGAAAGCACGTTCTCCATTGTGAGGGTATAGGCGGAGCCTTTCGCCCTCCCCCCCCGGGGAGCAGCCGCCTGATGCAGCCCAAACGCCAAACACAAGCGCTGAAGCCCCTGTTGTATTTTAAGTCACGAAAACGTCGTAACTTCTTCGCATGCAAAAATTCCTGCGCTAGTCGTATTTAGTCTATCATTTACCAACAAAAAGTCAAAATCTCCAAACTTACTTCAGTAACAAAGCGAAGAGTAGCGTCGCAGTTTCTAAGCTATAATATCCTCGATCGACGTAGTCTCCCATGAAAACATACTTCGTAGCTGGCGCTTCTCCACCTATACATTGAGCCATTGAGCAATAAAAGCAGCGGGTAGTTAGCTGTGAGCTTACCAGTACGAAAAAGTTCCAACAAGTCATAAAACTGCCCATGAATATCTCCACAGATGGTTACTGGTGTTTCAACAGGAACCACATTAGGTTGTCGTATAAGACGATCAATAAGACTGAAAAGAACAAGAATGGCTGAGTTAGAGCATAAAAGCTTCGTAAACGTCTTCTCAGGATCCCTAGTCGGAACACTTTTTCTTTTCAATTAAGAAACATTATTCTCTGAATTCTAAGCGTTTAAAGATGTGTGTCGATGAGCAAACAAACTTGGTGATAGGGCGGCATATGGTGTCAAGTGCGACACTTAGAGCCACATATCGCCGTGCACAGAGGCCCTAGTTTCCATGCGGCACCACGTAGGTGTCTGAATACAGATAGAACTGATAGAGACGGCGTTGAAACTAACGGCTGTATGCCGACCAAAATGGTTAAGCCTGCGCAGTGTGATTTGCTACGTAGAAGTGTTGCCCAGATGAGGATAAAATGGCAACGCAACATTTGCTCATCCCAAGGAAGTGATACGCAGCAAATGAAGACGTATTTGCAGCAGCATATAATCTAGTTTTGCAGAAGCGTATCTAAATTTTCTGAAAAGTATAGAACGTCCTTTTCAAAATAGCGATAAAGCGATTTAAAGCGTTTGTCTCAATTAAACAGCACAGCGAACTGCGTATAAAGAATGGAATAATATGAACGCGTGAAATATACCCTATCAAGAGCACAATGACAAATTTTGACAAGATATCAACATCCTTACCAACTACAAAGTGAGATCATATCCTCTTCGGGCAAATATTTGCATTCTTTTGCTATTGAAATCCATTCATCTACGCAAGCATAGCGTTTGCTTAAAACAGCGTTCAGTCATTAAAAACACGAGAAATGTTGAGAGACAATATACTTCATCAACTCACACGCTTCGACTAGTCAGCTTGTCCTCGTTCAGGACTTCTCTGATTTCCTCTGGAACGTCGGAGTCGGATGGCATTACAGTAAAAAAAAAAAAGGAACAAAACAAAAACTCGAAGTTCAGTTCAACATCATGCATTTTGGGTTTACGGCACATCAACGGCGTAACGTGAAGCTGAGTATGCCAAATTGATTCATCTTATAAAAATGGTGAGCGCGAGAGCGAGGAAGATGTGTGCGTAGAAATATGATATAGGACAACACTAGAGATCGAGAGCGTAACGGGGCGTTACGAAGCACAGGAGATGGAAAAAAAAGTACGAAATTCATTCGAAAAGGGAAACAACAACAAAACAACAAAGACTATCAGCCTAATAATAACACATATACTTCTGAGATTGAAAAAAAAAACAGAGAAACATAAAATAACTAAAGTTCAAAATGTCCTAGCGGATTAATGAGACCATTCCTAGCTCACCTTTTGAGTTGTAAAAAAATATCTGATTCTACTCCAGCAACTAATGATTAAATTAAACATTTCACCACTGTTGGATGCACCAGTGCGTCACGTCGGGCATTTCCAAAAACTCTTGAGCATTTGATTTTTACAGCATGTAATCTCAACGATTCTGCTTTACAGAAGTTTTCAAGCGCTCAAATAAATCACCATCAAAAGGAAAAACGAGGAAAGATACGAAAAAAAATCACAGTCTAGCGAGAGTTTTCAGCTGTCCGCAACGACACCGACCTGTGCAGCTCGAATGGGCCGATCTTTCAAAGAATACCCGACCTTTGAAACATGCATTACATGCCCAGGCTCGACCTTCGTATCCTGAAAAGCTTTCAAGTTGACCACAAAAATAGTGCGCATGGATTGCATAACATCGATTGAAAGCTCACCTCCCCTGCAGGAACTTGGAACACTGCCTCATGCAAATTGGGATCGAACTTTTCACCCATAGGATTAACTTGAACAAGTCCGTGCCTCTTGAACGTTTTCAGCAACACTGTTTTAGTCATCACTATGCCTTTATGAAGATCGACAAGAGTTTTATCGGCAGACTCAAGTTGTTCTGGTTTAACAGAATCTACAGCCAAATCAAGAATGTCGGCAACCTATAACAAAAAAGAACCACTACAGTAAGCATCAGTTTTACCTTGCTCTGTTTCTTAGCCGCTCTTCTACACCGCAGTTCGCGTTGTGAAAACCAAGAATGTTGGGTCACGGGCACAACTCTACACCCAGGGGAATCGAGTCCGCACAGAATTGAAGTGCGGATTCGATTCCAGTCGGGATGAAGAGTTTTCCCATAACCCAGCACTCCAGTGGAACTTACTAGCGACAACCTAGGAAAACGTGAGTACCTCCAACAAGTCCTTGCAGAAGCCTTGAATTGCAAATATTTTTGCTTCTTCAGTTTGCTTAATCCCACGATTGCGAACGTTTTCTGTCTCTGCTAATGGATCGTTTGTACTTGTCCTAAATAATGCAGTATAATTTAATCATAGACCTCATCAATATTAACGATGACATCATTTCATTGAAAAGAGTATCCAAACAAAAAGGAAAACGGTTGATCGTCAATGTATTAAGCAAACGTATTTGAAAAAAAAAGATTTCAAATTGAATACCAACGAAAAAGCCACTTCAAAGAAAGTTTCCAAAAAGGAGCGAATGACAAGATAATCAACATGAGTAATACGACGACATAATACTTTGATTAGTGAAGCACCTGCCACTCTGAACCTTCCGCGACCAGAGCATCGTACTCAGTTAACAAAGTTTCGAATGCTTCTTTTGGAATTGCGAAATCTTCAGTCCCATCCTTGGCAGCTTCCTTTTTAACTATCTCAAAAAATTCCAGCCCTGAAACCAACGTATGTTTTTTCGCTACAAAAAACAGCACACGCCTAGTGGATGGTAAGAAGACCAATGAGTACAAACTATAAAGCTGTATGACCTACCACTTAGCCGTTGTCCATCTTGCTTTTTGAGTGAGAATTTCGGAGTTTCATTGTTTTCTGCGTTGTTAGCAGAGGTAGAGCTGAACCATAACGGCATTCGTAAAGTTGATCGAAAATTAAGAACCGGCCTGAAAACGTTACCAGTACTGACACGATAGAACTTTATAAGCAAAGGTAGACAAAGGAAAATGAGCGAAAGGATATACTTGTGTACGATGGCGACTTCCCAATGATTACAACACATCAACTAGTCAAATTGACCTTTCTGTTACAAGATTACCACTCCCTTATACTGCCGCAGACTAAGGGATTGTAAAAATGTACCTACTGGGAAGTACTCTTTTCATCGAGTATGGAAACATCAAGTTTCAAATGCACTTGAATAAGAGCTTTCCCGTCGGAATTAAAGTATTAGAACTTTACGCTTAATGCCTCCAAAGTTTTTTTGCGACATGATTCATTGGCCAAGCAGCGACTGACTCCGAAAATCCCATCTAGAAAACGCATTATGCGACGGCCGCAGTGATTATTAATCGGAGAGTTGCGATTCTTTTGAAAGAAATGAAGGCCTTTAAGACGAGAAGATAAAATAAAGTGTATTGAGCGTATGTCATTTCTACAAAAGAAACTACCAGCATGCAAAAATGTAACCTTCTTACAATTACCGATGACGTTTTTATTCCCTGGACAGCAAAAAGTCCTGCGAACCATTTTTAGTGCCGACTGCAGAATTTCCACAGCCAGCACTCTTCCTAAGAGGGCTCAAAATACCCCATTCAAACGTCTGCAGAGGATCCACCATACGACCTTCCTATCTCCGTACTTCACCGCCACCGAATGACTGTTTGCATAGCGTTGCATTTTGATATTAAGTGATATATCAACAGCCCCCTCAGCCCCAGATAGTTTTGAACTGTCGTTGAGCGGAGAGAAGGGAAAGTGAGACATATGTGGTCGAAACGACAAATTCTGGCGATTTTGCCGATCTCTGGCTCTTTCTTGAATTGTGGCAATCGCCTCCACAGCACACTCGAACCCTCCAATCACACACACAATCAATCCTGTGGAATCTGAAACGAAGGTCTATTCACCAAAACATAAAACGACCCTAGCTCCCCACTCCTCAATTAGCCACCGCCGCGGTTGAATTTGGCACAAAGTAGCCGATCGACATGCCCACAAGAACGGCTGAATGTTTGGTAGTCGAAAAACATGCTAATATTTCCCCACAATCACTATTCGTCATTTTGAAGTTTTTCTAAAAACTCAAATAGCCACTTAGTACCATTTATCTGACATTCTTGTCTCTTGTTTATGAGAATTAGTCGCAAAATTTAAAATGATGCAAATCTCTGAAGGTCTAGTAAAACTGGAAGTGATGCAAGAAACTTTTCCAATTAATCACCACAATTCAGTCATTAATCAAAACATCGTGAACGACACTTACCTCGAAGATAAAGGACATGCAGAATAAATACTTGGTAAGTTGCCCTTCAACGCAAATCCCAAGAGGCGCCTAGCCAACATTCTAAATGAGGTGAAACTCAGAAGATTCATAAAATCACGTAATACAAAACCAAAACCGAAGCCAGGCATGAAAGAACGAATACTAGGCCAATTAACATTAGGATAACGAATTATAGGAAAAGCAGCTTGCATTAGGCGGTTTATGAGGAAAGCGATTGTAAGGCCGACGTCATACTTTGCGAATCGAGCGAATCGCTAGCGAATCGCTCGAGTCGAGCGAATCGCTAGCGAATCGCTCGAATCGCTAGCGAATCGAGCGAATCGCTAGCGAATCGCTCGAGTCGAGCGAATCGCTAGCGAATCGAACGATGCACCAGCGATTCGAACTAGGTACCAGCGAATCGAACTAGGTACCAGCGAATCTTGCATAAAGCTTGAAACTAGGGTGTTAGGCTAGGTTTTGAGTGAGTGTGTGGTTGCCGCCGGACAAAGAGCCTTTGGTGAGGCCACACAACCTCCGAATTTCGCGTTTTACTCCCCTATTTCGTCCACTATAGGTACTCGTTGACTGGTTTATACAAGGAGTAATTAAATTATTCGATCATGTCAGTCAATATCTAACACCGTTGGGCTTCATTCAAATTCAAATGGACTACAGTGCCGCGGCAGTAATCTTTGTACATCGGCGTCTTTGATTGATCTTAATTGATAGAGGATACAGGAAAGCTCACTGATAAGGACTTTTTCATATGATGAGGGGCATCTCGGAAATGTTTGCCTTCAAGTATCTGCGCCAAAAAATAGAAACTTGACGGCCAAGTTCAGGTTCCTATCATGTAGTTCAGAAACTCCACTGCGTATCATGAGCAAACCGTCCTTTCCTAGCGAAAAATGCCCAAATTAGCCTACCGTCTTTTTTTTCGCTCGAGTGCCAACTCGTTCAACGCTTAAAACTTACAATGTTCTCTCTGTGTTTGCATTAATGAGACCTTCCATGAACATTCTCAGTTTTCCTTCTGACATCCCCTCTGAATGGAAACCGTCCATTTCACACAGTTCAAACTTTTACAGCTATTGTGGGGACTGATCGCAACTATAATCATTTATGGGGTACGTCAAATTCTTGAAAGCTTCACATGAGTCTTATGCTTATTACCATTGAATGTTGCTACGTACGCTCCCAACTAGTCGCACCAGCGAGGGGAGAGGGATTGGGCGAGGTCACTTCACGGAGTTGAATGCTTTGACAGCATAATGCAAGCACGTTAGGAACTGGAGCGATGCTTCACCAACAAATGACATTCCATCAACTGCCTCCCACAAAAGCTTTGTTTGACTGTGTTATGACAAACATACACCATGCCACATCTCATATTTGACTTTTTTAAGAACCAAGTTCCGCTATCAAGACTACATCACGGGTAAATCGCTATATACGAAGCAACACCACACTAACTCTACGTTTTGGCCAAACGCTTTCAACACATTTTATAGGTCGACCGAGTCCGAAGCACACTGTAGCTTGAACATGAGCGCAATCGAAAGCACTTAAGTTACAGTTCATGCTATTGGCCGCAGATACTACTTGTTTTTCATAATATCTCACACAAAAAGAATTCGAATATTAGACTGTCGAAAATTGGTGCTCAAAGCAACACCTCCAGATCGATTTGGCGAGGTAAAAGCGGTCGATAATGAAAATGCGGATGCCGAGTTTACTGCAAATGAGAAAAGAAACAAAGAAAATCGCCGAATCCCCCTCTTCCACTTCAGGCCGATGTCTTTGCAAATGAGCGATTCGCTGGCGAAGGAGAGGTGTGGCCAGACGAGCTGTCCGAAATAGTTTGCTTTGCCGGCATTTATTGCTGGTTCCTTCCAGCAAGAAATGCATATCAAGAATCGCATATGCACCAATGCAAACCAAGACACCTGCTGGGCTAGCGATTGGGTGGATCAGACGAAAAGGCTGACGTGTTGGCACATATCCTAGTCCTTTACAGCGTCTTACCGACCTTTTTTTTTCTTGGGGTCTTTCTATGTTCTCAACAAGGCTAAGCTCTAATGATTCATCTATTTCAGCTCTTGTTGATACCCTACACGAAGTCTTCCCTAACAGATTGGGCAGGCAGCCAAGAACGAGCCCAAAGTACTATTCATTTTCCTTCATCATCCAGTTCTTGAGCACACATGCAACTATCTACAGACCCGACCAACTTCTGTAGAACCCCGAAGGCGGCTATAACCCCTATACACGATCTTATTATTAGTCATGGTTGAAAAAGCGCTTTTTATCAAAATTTAGACAGACCATTAGACCAGTTCATGTGTAGTCCTTTACAATACTACATTATTACGACCCTAGCGGGAGAAGGAGCAAGTAGTAAAAAGCCACCACGTGACGTGACGCCGCTGCGGATTTGCGAAACAGCTTTTTCCATCGAATTGTGATGGTAACGACTCCAAAAATGAAGTTATATTCGTAATGATAACCGCTATGACTCGTATTGGATAAGTTTTAAGGCGATACTGCTGCTCTTCGTGAGATAGCATTGCCGCAGCAATATCGAATCTGCTGATCCAATAACCCCCTCAAAACTGCATAGCATTGCCGAAATTTTGCTGTGCCTAACACCCTAGTTTCAAGCTTTATGCAAGATTCGCTGGTACCTAGTTCGATTCGCTGGCACCTAGTTCGAATCGCTGGTGCATCGTTCGATTCGCTAGCGATTCGCTCGACTCGAGCGATTCGCTAGCGATTCGCTCGATTCGCTAGCGATTCGAGCGATTCGCTAGCGATTCGCTCGACTCGAGCGATTCGCTAGCGATTCGCTCGATTCGCAAAGTATGACGTCGGCCTAAAAAAAGAAGGCGTAAAAATATCGGGTGCAGACACCACGCAGAGACGTCTTTTTTTAAACGGGAAAAGTTGATACGAAGTTCCCACATTTTCATTGGCTTTGCTCTTGAATATTAAGTCTTGAACGTTATCGATTCTGGTCTCGAACACCATAATTTATGATTCTCCAATCAGTTGTGATGTCTATCTTGCCAGTCGCGGTCGAGTTGGATTGCTTAAAGCTTTTAGTGGTCATTTTTAGCAAAATACACCATTTTTTCTAGGTGAGGTGATCCGAATAATTGAAGAACATGACAGAGGACGACGACCAAAAAGGATATACATGGGAAGCTGGATATGCGGACGGTGGGTTCATGGACGCAGTGGGGGCGATAAAAATGACAAGAAAAGACAATCTCCTTCTAAATTTAAAGCGCAACTATTAACATATACGTTGCTGGATCCAACTGTATGCTTCCGAACTGAAAATTGAAGAGCACGTTTCAATAAACTATCAATAAACTTCATAGTAGCCTTCTACAGGGACGACATCAACTGAATTTGCCACACAAGCATGGGTCGAGCTCAAAGGGGTCCTCGAAATATCGTGGACCACTACGTCCTCTGATATCCTGGTTGGAAGGGAACCTTCATAGTCAGAATCAGTGTCTCTAAAAAGCTCTCCACCCCGAAAATTGATTCAAGGAATTATGTAGCAGCTTCAGGCTGGAGCAATTATGGCAAGTCTCATTGAGCTTGACGGTGATGGCAGATGACGTCATGTTTGAAGATGGCGAACGCAGCGAAGGAGGGCCTGCGTCTGCTTATGGGAGGGAGGGCAGGGGCAACCGAGGAATGTTCTGCCGTAAAACTTTCACCAACGGCTGCACCCTGTGCCACGAAAAGTTTGCTGATGTGCGCCTTAGCCGGAATGACTTTTCTCCCCCCCTCTCTCCGTAAATCTTGCGGTTAACCATCTTCAATTTTTTTGAAGAAAGAGATTTCGTCTTCGTTCAGGAATGCTGCTCCGTCATAAGAGACCCAATAGTGATTCCGTGAGTAGTGGTATATGCTAGTGGTGATCAGCTTATGCACTCCCGGTTTGAGGGAAGGGGAGATAATCAGGAGGAAAACAAAAATGCCATGAAGATCATGCGTTTCAGGTTTGAATATCCGCGAAGTATTAGAGGAAGATGAGGGTGGATCAATCGAGAAGTCCATCGCAAAGCTCGTTGCAGAGGCACGGAAGAAGCAACGTACGATCGAGAAGCCATCGAAAATTCGTCTCGGCATTGTAGGTTCCAATTTTCCTATTTGTGTACCTCGAATTCAGACCTTTTATTCAGATGCGCTATGTCTATGTGGCGATTGACTGTTCGCGATCAATGACAAGCAAAGTCTTACCACCATCTCGATAAGCGTGGTTGGCGACTAACTTACGATTTTTTTGCTCTGGCACCTAGTTCCTCAACACATAAGGCGCCGGCAATGAAACTCAGAGAGGGTGGCATATGTATATCTCTGTCCTCTAAACAGGCTAAAATACCACCTGCACCATCCAAATATACCATATTTCAACGTCTATTTACCAAAAGGCAAGACACGGACATACTACTACCCTTATGCGAACATATCACATTTTATTCCACAGTTTTTTTATAAACATATACAAATCTATCAAATCTAACAGCAAAAATCACTCGTACTTCTGGATGAGAACTCTAGAAGAAAGTTAAAACAGCTACTTAAGCAACTGGGAGCGTTCACATCCGATTTGCCCAGCACCAGAAGGCAACATGCTTCATTTCTAAGTTTCCCACAGATTTTGCAATTTTTTCCATATACATGAACATTAACCCTTTTACCTTCATGAGCCTGCGAAAATCAAGTACCTCATCACCAGCGGACCTAAGCCTACGAGCCATCCGGTGGCACGTGAAATTAGACCACCCTACGGCCCCGAGAATGCTAAGAATGTTTGTTTGACATGAACGGTATTGAGTTAGTGGACTTCTCTGTGCCAGCCTAGACATCAACGCTCCCAAAAGCTCTTGCCTTCATTATGTGACCAATGAGACATACTCAATTTTTCCTTTGAAGCAGTTTTTATAGCATAAAGCTGCGAAACGTAGCAAATCATTCCAAACCCGTATTTGCCTACCCTTGCAATCCTACCCAAACAACATCAGTTATTCTGTAGTCACTGAATGCTCCACGAACCTCAAATTGAATGTCCAAAAAAGCGAGAAGGCCCTGAAAATTTTCTCAAAGTCTATCGACGATGGGTGGAGGGCGTTTCGGTTTTACGACGTCATTAAACGTCATCGGTGAAAGGCGTCAGGAGACGGTCCTAATAACAATCCCAGCGCGAAGAGTGTTCCATCCACTAGTGACGTTCAATGATACTCTCGAAATGGTACTGCCTTCCAGCCATCGTGATCAACTGTCTTTCCGTAATGGATCTACAGTCTTACTGTGTTTCGAAACATCCAGAGTTATTAGCTTTGGCAAGCAGCACAGGCAAACGGCTCCCCGCGGTTTGCAACCGGTTAAACCGCAGTTGGACAAACATGAAAGGCTTTCAGTGGAGAAGTAGTGTCGGCAGTCGACGGGCAGAAGACAAAACCAAAATTCGCTTTTTTTCCCACCTGGGGATTGCAAGCGAACCTTCGCCCTGAGAGTCTCTTCCGCATGCCAATGCATTCACTGAAAAAGGAGCAGAGATCATGCACTTTACGGAAAGATCAACAAAAAAGTTTTCCTTACCCCTCGGTCACTGAAAACAGGTGTGAAGGCAGGAAGCGGGACCAAGTGTCCGAAATGCTCGAGCCAGTTGCGGGGCGGCAACGAGTGTCATTCGGCAGACACGGCACTCGGCTGGTAAGGAACAATGTCGAGCACCACATTGCTCGCAAAGGAATCCACGTGATGTCGACAGAGGTGCAGACATTGGATGGCTAAAAAATTCTAATAGAGTGTAATTGCTCCTGCAATATTCACTACACTTACCATACACAAAATGAGCGCTCTTTAACGATTGTGTGAGGCGGGAACGCCACTCGAATTGCGTTACATTCAGCTGCTTTCGTCGACGGAGGAGGAGCAGTATGTTGCGAGAGGAGCAGTTCGAAATGGTCTTGGTCCAAAACCACGTCATACTTGCCTAAAAAAGTGTGGGTCATTTTAAGAAGGAACCAACAAATAATGGGAATGTCTAGGTTCTGACTAGATTCTCGCTTGCTCTCAGTGTCTCATTCAGGTTTGCCTAACCACTAATTCTCAGCCACATTCGAACTGCGTCCCTTTCGCTCGAACTAGAGTTTATAGGCGCTAATTGAATATTTTAACCACAGAATAACCTCCTGCCTATAGTGGCGGAGGCGCTCCATTGTACGCATATACATAAATAAATAAAATAAATAAAGTATTTGGATCGTTATAATATACGCAAACAGACCACCAATTAAAAAGCATCGATATCTATTTATTCCTAGGTCACGAGTTTCCCGCTTAGTTTTTCTATAATAATATCCTAATAATTTAGTTTATCGTAAACTCACATGAGATCATCAGAGAGCATCAAGAGTATCAAAAACAAGACACACTAAAGCTTCTTTCAAAAATGTAGGCGCAAGCCCTGAAGAACTCGCAAATAGCACACTCGCAGCGGGCCACTACATGATCAGGATTAAAATCGAACACATGGTGTCTCCTAGAGAAATGGGAAAAATCCATTTCAGTTCATCTTTTATGCTGCTCTTTCAGACCCTTACTAGGTGGATTCAATTACGAGATCAATTAACATAATGGAGCAACAAATGAAAATCCATTCAAAGTAGGGAAGAAGATAGCCAAACGTTTAGAAAATAGAACTCACCATTTGTAATTTTTGCCAGCTGTTTGCAAACAAATAGTTCCGCACTTATTCCAATCACAGAACACCGGATATTATGGCCTCTGAGTAGCTGGAACCCCAAGAATATTCGATTAGAAGGGTCTCTAATGATGCGGCAGAAAAACAATAGAATGGAGCAGGGTCAGTGATAAAAGACACCTCGAATGTGGAGAATACATTTCCAGGATCCACCGTAGACAAACTGGACATAATCACAACCACTTCGCGGGACACGTGTCCAGGTAAGCTTCTAAACACTAGAGTTTGTGACTTTGTCAGTAAGCCCCTTGCTTTTCGGAAGTATGGACTAGAACTTCGCTGCCCTAGAGTTTTGTGATAAAGCTACATAACGAAAATTTTAAAAGAGAAAATCGA